CCTTTGGAAAAGTCACAACCCTTTGGGAAAATCACAACCCTTCGGAAAGTCACAACTCATCGAAAATGTCACAACCCATCAAAAAAGTCGCAACCTTTTGGAAAAGTCACAACTATTTGAAAAAATCACAACCCTTTAATGTCAAAAGGTATCTATTTTTAATATAATACAAATAATAAAATAAATTGAGTATCTTTAATTGGGGGTATTATAGTAATTCAACATTTAAGTTTGAAAGTTCATGCTTTTAAGATAGTATAGAAGATAAATATATATATATATTTCTCAAGGTCCTAGTAAATCGTGTTTTCCAAATAATTTTTAATTTCTATTCAGTAAAACAAAAATACATATACAATTAGGCAATTAGGTCACTTGTGTTTTAAAATTTCCACTTGAAACATTAAATCATATTGAATTAACTTTTGAGGGTAAGTTTAAAGATTTGAAAATTCTTCCTATATTTCTTAAATTTAATTCATTCTCAGACAAACTACATTATATAAATTAGAACGAAGTGAATACCACCCTTATTATCTTATTTTTTTAATGCAATATGCCTAATATGAGAAACTTTATAAAATTAAGAAAATTAATTACCTAGTAATATTTAAATGGAAAATGATAACGTTATAGTATGTGTTTGCGTAAAACTCTAAACTGATATCATGCCATAAAATTTTCATTGATGTCTTAAATAATCATTAATAATATTTGCTAAAATAGACTTCTTAAATAAAATAGAGTTATCTCAAATGATATTCAAATTATACATAACAAACATGCAAATAGAGTGTTAGTTAATTTTAAGACTTTGAAGTTTTTTTTTAGATAGTTAAATTTTATAAAACACAAATTACAAACCCCAAATATCATTCAAATTATATTTGAAAAATCAAAAACTTAAACACAATAGATTACTTAAACACTATAATTATATTTAAAAAATTAATAAAAAATGCAATACATATTGAGACAATTAAAATGGACAAAAGCTATCTTGCTGTGCATTTGATCAAATTTATCTGAATCTTCAAAAAAATTATCTAGACAACAATGAAAAAATTCTAAAACAAAATAAAATGAGAAGAAAATTAACAAAGTCAAGTAAGAGATGCGATAAATATGAATTACTTTCACTTGAACTTTATTAATTGTTGCCATTTTTCTTACTTCAAAAATACATTTTTATTTTATTTTGTTAGTTAAAATTATTTCCTAGTTCAAAGTCATGAAAAGAAAAATATTGTTAAACCTCTTTCCGATTATGTGGTTATGAAAGATTTATGTTGTAAGCCTTTTTAATTTTATTTTTTTAGTGAAATTATGGTGCCATTTTATTAAAACTTTCAAGTGGCAGATGCACACAATAAAAATTTGCAGGTTATTTGTTTTAAAAGATTGCAAACATAAAATTAAGATATCATAAACATATAAGGAGACTAAGTAGATATTCAAATAATTTTGAGAAAATAATAGATAATACGATGTAACAAATAAACAATACATACCTGAGTATAAATTGGATTATATTTAAGAGAAAAGTAAACCGACTATTCCTCATTTTCTTTTTTAATATCACAAATTTAATAGATTTGAAACCAATTCAAACTCGGGAAATGAAATGCTAGCCAGATTGAAAAATCAAACCAAATTCATGTTTTGTTTGAGATTGGTTTGGAACCATTTACAGAGAAGGAAGCAAGAGCGTGCCTTTTCTAATTCCTATAAGTTACAATTGCATTTTCTCAAATGTGCACTTTATTCTGAATTGCTTTTTTAAAATTCAAAATTTAAAAGTCAAAAGTTAAAGGGAGTTAATATGCCAATGTTTTACATTATCGAGAATTACAGTTTTTAATTAATTTATTTTTTTACTTAAAAATTTTAAAAATTGTGGTGCTGCCATGTGGCACTTTTTCTTTTCCTATTATCTATCTATATATAATCTATCTATATATAAAAGGAGAAGAAAAAATGACACGTGTCAGCACCACACAATTTGTAGATATATTAAATAATTAACAACAATTTAAATAACAAAACATTTTTAAAAAAACAGAAATTAAAAACAGTTTTTAAAAAATTGTTTACGTTAAAAACTGTTTTAACGTAATCTTTTTTCTTTGTTTAAATAAAATGAATATTTTTGTTCCTAATAAAATGCTAACTGCCTTTTTTAAAAATAAATTTTAAAAATATAAAAGTTAAATTGAAACTAAAATTAAAATTATACATGATATATAGATAATGATGCTAAATTTTAGGTTCAAGTAACAACAAAATACTTAAAAATTAAATTCCTTTAAAAAATGAGCAGTTTTTTAAAGATTTTTTTCCTTTTCTTTTAATAGACTATATTTCATACATAAAATAAAATAATTCAAAGACCAAAAATAGGAACTTTAAAAAACTTCTACGACATAACTTTTAACAATATTAAAATATACTCAAATTCATTTGCCATTTATTTGAAAATAAAAAAAAATCATTCTGCACCATAATTACAAATACCAAAAAAATATAAACCGCCAATTTATTTGAAGAAAATAAAACCTCTGCATAATAAATTTTACATAAATAAATAAAAAAATAGAACCATTTTTTTCTATATACAGAAACCTATTGATAATAGACCATCTCATCCACATTTATCTATATATATAAAGAAAAATGGCATATGTGTCATCACCACAATTAATCTTCAAATTTCAGTATTTAAAATCAAATTTTAAAAGAAATGTGTTTTTTTTTAAAAAAAAAAACACATGTCAATTTTTTTATACGGTTAGAATGAGATATGAGATATAATTTTAAATTTCAAAAACACAACTGCATCATTTTGAAGAGCATAAATAGGATGACTCTCTAACAAACAAACAAAAGGCAACAAAGAGCATTCTTCTCTTTCCAAACAGGAAAACTACCGGATTGTGATGAGACCAGCAAAAAAAAATAAAAATAGGTATAGTCGATCTTTTTCTTCTTCTTTTTCTTAAATATAAGCTTTTCTATTTCTTTCTTTTTCTTTAGATTTTCTTATGAAATTGTTTTTTCTTAGATTAAAATAATAATAATAATAATGATAATAATAGTAATAAATAATAATAATAATAATAATAATAATAATGATAATAATAATATAAATATAAATAAATAGATAAATTTTAAAAAGGAATGGAAAATAACTAACCCATTTCTACAACTAACTATTAATCGACCGTTTTAACTTTTTTTTTACAATAAGTTTTTTAATTTTTTTAATGGTAATTACTGTTTTTTTACAATCAAGTTTTAATTGATTTTTTAATAATAATTATTGATTTTTTTAACAATAATTATTGTTTTTTGTGGTGCTGACACGTGGCACGCACATATATATATATATTGATATATTGTTATTGTATATTAATTTGCGGAATATCCTAGAATCCATAAAGTTTAAACCACACCCTAACTACACTTCACCAAACTATTACTTTCCTCAATCATTATATTAATTACCATTACAAATCAAGCAGCTATCACAACATGCTTATTTCTCAGAATTGACTCTCTTCAGACTAAAGCTCTACCTTACCTACAGCTAGAAGGTATAATCATCTAGAACAACTTTTATATTAGACTGGGATCTAATAATAGTTACGTAAGCTATCTCTTTGGCCACACTTTCTACAGAACCTATTGTTCTGCTCTTCTGCACAAATATTCTATTATTTCTCTCAATCCATATTCCATACACACATTCCGCCATAATGATCTTGAAGATGTGAGCTGAAATAGTCTTCCCTTTTGCATGTTGTATACTCCAGTGCATAAATTGATCCCAATTAGTAGGCAGCATGTCAAGCTGGTGCACCCATTTTAGCAATCTGCTCCATAACCTGATGGCAAATTGACAATTAATAACCAAATACTCTATGGTTTCCTCCTCGTTTTGGCACATAACACACCTCTTTGATACTACCATCCCCCACTTTGTTAGCATGTCTGTAGTTAGCAACTTCTTATGAAGCATGAGCCACGTGATGAAATAAGCTTTTGGTCTTCCAGCATTCTTGAACAAAAGGCATTTCCAGTCAGTCCTCTGTTGTTCCCCTATCAAAGACAAATAAATTTGCCTTATCAGACTTCTTTCTTGCTCCTTAGCTGTTGTATATGATCAACTACATGCTTGCCATTAATAGTTTTCCTGATCATCCAACTAGCTTGTTTGGACTCAGGCCATGGATTTTTCCCCTTTATGTAGAAGTTATGGACCCATTTTATCCACAGTTTATCTTCCTTATGAGCTAGATCCCAACTTAGTTTGGCCGTTGTTGCCTTGTTCCACAGTTGCATATTAATTAATCTCATGCCACCCATCGATTTAGGACTGCAAACTTTATCCCAAGCTACAAGAGCTTTTTTAGTAATATGTCCTACACCAGACCATAAGTAGCTTCTACACAACTCCCCAATCAACTTGATAACCTTTGCAGGTATGATGAAAAGTTGTGCCCAGTATGACTGGACTCCAAATAAAACGGTTTGAACTAGTTGAGCTCTCCCTGCATATGATAACTTCCTTGAGGGCCATGAGTTGATTCCTGCCATGACTTTTTCAATAAGGGGTTACCATTGAAGTATTGAAAGTTTCTTTGTGGACAAAGGTATCCCAAGCTACTTAAAAGGTAGCTCCCCTACTGAGTATCCAAGCTATTGGATGACTTGTTGCTTATCTCTTGTTGCCACTCCTTCAAAGTAAATGGAGCTCTTATTAAGGTTTGCCTGAAGACCTGAAGTTGTGAGAATGTAGAGAAACACTTTTGGAGAGCCTTGATGGATTCCATGTCTCCTCTAGAGAAAATTAGCAAGTCATCTGCAAAGCACAAGTGAGTTATACCCAATTTAGAGCATTTTGGGTGAAACTTAAAAGTTTTATCCTCCTTGAGTCCATTGAGAGATCTACTGAGGTACTCCATAGCAATAGCAAATAGGAAGGGTGACATTGGGTCACCCTATCTGAGTCCTTTAGCAGCTGGGAAAACCTGAGAGCTCTGTCCATTCACAACAATAGCATAACTAACAGTCTTCACACATGTCATTACCCATTGAGTGAACAAGTTAGGAAATCCAAGCTCAGTCATCACCTGTTCCAGATAGGTCCATTCCGCTGAGTCATATGTCTTCTGAAGATCAATCTTCAGCATACTTCTAGGTGAAACATTCTTTCTAGTGTAGGCTTTTACCAATTCATGGGTGAAAATTATATTATCAGCAATCTTCCTCCCTGGAATAAATCTAGCCTGGCTATCACAAATAACAGTATGTATCACATCATGTAATTTTTTTGCCAAAACTTTCGAGATGATTTTGTACAATACAGTACAACATGCAATAGTTCTATACTCCTTCATAGTTTTTAGGCTTTGAACTTTTGGGACAAGGGTTACCAGAGTGCAATTTATAGGGGCATGCATCTTCCCAGTGGATTACTGCAGCAATAATCTCTTCTTTTATAGTTTGCCATGTATGTTTAAAAATGAAAGCATTATACCCATCAATCCCTGGTGCCTTGTCATTTCCAGTGGTTTTTAATCCTGCATAGATCTCTTCTTCTATAACCTCAGCACATAGACTGATTCTTTGATGTCTAGATTGCTTGTTCCCTCTTCTCACTATCTGAATATCTATGGCTGACATATTACCTGTTGTTGTCCCCATAAGGCCTTAGTAGAATTGCACAAATTCATCTTGGATTTCTGTTGGATCATATATCATTTGTCTAGAGAGGGAAGTAATACTCCTAATTTGCTTCTTTCGGGTTCTCTTTTTTATGATAGAACTGAAGTATTTATTGTTTGCATCTCCAAGTTGAATCCATTTAATTCTTGACTTCTGTCTTAGAGCACTTTCTTATATCATAGACCATTTCTCAACTTGATCTATTTGTTCATCAGTAGCTTGGCTAGTTATATGCTCTTGTATTCTATTTAACTCTTCTCTTGTCTTCTCCATCTTCTGACTAATAAATTTGAACTCATTATTATTAAGCTTACTCAATACAGGTTAAAGAGCCTTCAGTTTGCACCAGACTCTCTGCATTTGACCAGTCCTATATTCCTTCTTCCATATATTTTCTACCAGCCCCATAAAGGATGGATGTTCAGCCCATGTATTGAAGAACTTAAAATTCACCCTTGAGCATTTCTGAGAAGTTTGCAGTGTAAGCATCATTGGGCAATGATCAGATATACCAGGTTTTCATATTTTGTAATGACATGTCCCCGTTGTTCCATCCATTCATAATTTCCAAATACTCTATCAATTTTGCTTGATATTTTATCCTCTCCATGTTGTTTGTTAGTCCATGAGTAATAATCACCCTGCCATTGTAATTTAGTAACTCCCATACTTTGGATACAAGCTGCAAAATCTTTCACATCATTAAGGCTAATTGAGGCTCCTGCTAGTCTATCTTGTGGGGAGAGTATAGCATTAAAATCACCAGCTATGAGTCATGGTTGAGAGATCCCCTGTGCTAGTGTGTTCAATTCCTGCCAAAGACTTTTTCTCCGTTCAATAGTATTAAAACCATAGACCACAATAAGTACTTGTTGTTGGCCTTTGATTATATCCTTGATCAGGCAATGTAACACTTGAGCAGTGCTACTTATTACCTTAATCTCATACCAATTTTCATCTTATATCACCCATATTCTACCATTAGAAGTTGCATTGTAGTTATTCAGAATTCCCCATCCTGGAGCAATCCCCTGATTGTAGCTTTCATGTTTTGCTCTTTTACTCTTGTTTCAATAAGCCCAACAATGCTTATTTTATTAGCTTGTAGATAATTTTTAAGCTCTTTCTGCTTGTATCTTTATTCACTCATCTCAGGTTATCAGCGTGTTCTTTGGGCTCCACCTCTATCCACAGGCAGTTAAGCCAACTTACCGTGCATAAGACTTTCGAAGTTATTCCTAGTAGGTATAGTTGCCAACATAGGGAAATTTGTAAGATTGAACTCCAGTCTGGTACCTCCTGCATTTGGCCTTAGGTTAACTTGTCTTGTCTCTCCTAGGGTTTGTTTGTCTATCTACATCTCTTGCTCCTCAATCGCAGCTGCATCTTAGTGATTCTTCCCTGCCTGATCAGCAGGTTGTTTCTATGGCTGAATCATCCTTTTGTATTGTCATGTCTGAGCAACTTTTTTCCCCGATCTTCTCTTCCTTAGAGGTTCCTCCCTATTAGTGGCAAGTTGGCATTGATGACCAATCTTCTGGCACTTATCGCAGTACTAAGGTCTCCATTCAAGTACTACTTGTTGTGTAAAGGTCTCTCCACTTGGATCCATGACAGTTATTTGTTGAGGGATTTCCTTAGTCACATTCACTTCAATGAGCATTCTAGCATAAGATATTCTTGTCTGCTTTGTAGTACATTCATCAGCAAATAGAGGAACTCCAATCGCACTCGCTATCCTACTTAGAGATCCCATACCCCAACAATTAAGCGGGAGCTTTGGAAACGTTACCCACAAGGGAATTTCTGATAAAAATTCACTTCCAAAATCAAAATCAGGGCTCCATTGCTTCAATATGATAGGTTTGTTGTTGATGGAATAAGGGTCAGTATACATTATCTCCTTCAAATCACTAAGTGACTGAAACTTCACTGTAAGTACCCTTCTTCATGTAGATACACATCAGGTTTGGCCACCGTCGTCCAATTCATAGTTATGTATCTATGAATAGTATTGTACCCAGGGCACTCCCCAATTACATAAGCAATAATTGCATATTTCCGTCTTTCCTCTTCCGTTTGGACATCTTCCTGCTCCAGTTGTACCATAGTTTTCCCATCAATAACTTGTGGGGGAAAGTAGGTTAAGTTCATACCATTATTTGTTGCGCGGTTGTTTCTGAACATATTGGTCCAAGGCTCTTCACTGATATTTGCCTTCCCTTTAGCTTGCCCTAATTCTTCAATTCCTGTTCCAGCAGCTACTTCCCCTTCTTCAGCTACAATATTAACTTATTTCACTGTTCCATGGCTTCCCACTCCCTTATCCGCATGATTGTGCCCTAGATCTGGGTACTCATGAAGCGTTGCCATAGTTGGTGGGGTCTCACTCAAACTTAGCCTCCGCACCACTTCAGCCTTCAGAGATGTCCCTATTACTGTGTTTTCCTCCTCATGTAGTGAAAAGGCTTTGGATTGTGCTTGGGTTTCAGCTTCTCCTCCAACTTGAGTTCCTACCGTGCTTCCTAGTGTCATCAATGGAAATTTCCGACCATGTCCCCGTCCTCTACCTCTTCCTCTCGCCATAGCTATCTCCTCTGCGCATGTTAACTATCATGCGCTGAGAGCTTCTAGAGAGAGAAAAAATTAATGTACATTCATATTTGAATGTACTACAAAGAAAAGTGAACGGATAGTGTAATTGACAACTTTCTTCCTCAATCATCTTGTTTTCACATTTCATAGAAATTGAATTTGTTCATTGGTCTCTCTGTCCATCTTACTAGTCAAGATTGCTCTGTTCCATGTGGAAAACCAAATGCAATTTCGATATATAATTATTTACACATAATACTTTGCTTTAATAATATTGATAAGATATATAAAACTATATATTACATGACTTGATATACACATTACTCTTTGTAGGAAAACGACTAGACATACGTAGCATATATATTACAACATAATTGTGACGTTTAACAAGCTAATTAATAAAGGCTATATTTTTTCTACTATAGATATCACAACTTAAATCTAAGATACACTTGTCCATGCTACTCCATAAGCATATGATTTGTTGAGCATCTAATTCCCTCATTTCTCATTCTTTTGTATCTCAATTCTTTGAACAGTCTCCACGAATGTTCTGCAAAAGCCATTGATTGCCAAAACTTAATGAATACTAGCAACAAATTGAGTTGATTTAAATTTTCTTTGTTGAAATAACATGTATAGGTAGCAAAAGAAGATATTCGTATGCCCTAGTTTATATGACTTATTTTCTTTTTAATCTGTCATAAAAAAAAATGACATATTTAAATATTAAGTAACAATTTAACATAAAAATGTCAATTTTACTCTTAATGAAATGATTTATTGCCACATAAATATCTATCACTTATTTTAGACAACAAGTTTCAAAAGTCTAATTTCTTTTTTAAACTCTGTACTGAATCAAACTAACTCATATAAAATGGAAATGGATGGAGTAAAAATTAAGTGCATACTTCCATGGTACATCTCCAGCAAGCATCCAGTCTCCTTCTCTGTCTTGGTACAAGATTGTAAAGCGCGTACTATTATTTCCACTATTTTGGTCTGTAGAAAACAATACTATCAATTAATTAATTGAGAAAATTTAAAAAAAAATACACAGTAGTACTTTGGTGTGAACTTACATTTTGAAAACATTTGAAGTAAATTTTGGGTAAGAAGTTGATAAGAATGATAGAGCCTAATATCAACCTTCCTTCCTATAGGCACCCCTTCCATCTTCACCTTTACATACATAGAGTTTCTTCTTCCAACAATAATATTGTTATTGTTATTGTTTCTATCATTTGTAATCCAACCTGCATGACCTTGATTATGAAATTGTTTTTTTCTCCATGTGTTAATTGGTGGCCACCCAAGTAGTTTAAGATTTTCTTTCTCAAAATCCCTATATTAATTACAAGGAGAAAAAACCATTAATTAGTAAAGGTATGTTGTGTGACATGAAAAGTGTTGAAAATAAGGGAAGCTGAAGATATGGAACAGGTTGAACAATATGGTACAATCAACGTTATACACGTCCTATTGTGACTTTAACTCTATAACAGTTAACAGTTGTACACATTGATTGTACTACGTAGTTTAACATGTTCCATCTTTTTCAATTTCCCTTATCTTAAATAAAAAGTTATACTATGACTTACTTGTGACAAGTAGCATTAAAAGGTTTCTTGTTTCTTCCATGGTGATCATCATCTTCATTTGGTTGGCCATTCCATATGAACAAAGACAAAGTTTTACGTTCCACTACTCCTTTATCCTCAAAGGACTCTTCAAAACATCGTTTTTGCTTTATCTTCATCTTCATAGCGGAGAAGCTATCATCAAAACTATCCTTGATCCCATTGGTGGGAAAATGGTTACAATTTGAAATAGCAAGGCCAAGCTCTAGTTCCATACCATAAAAGTTGTGTTAAATGAGTTCAAAAGAAAAGGGCTAGCATTTCATAGTTGGTTGGCTTTACTTTGAAGTTGTGTTTATAAATAGCTTTAGTCTAGCCTAGTGTAGCTTAGCGTAGAGTAGGGTTAACTTAAAAGAGAAATAAAAGAAAGAAAGAAAGAAAGAAAGAAAGAAAGAAAGAAGGGGTAGAGGAGTGTCGGTTGGGTCGGCTAAAAGAGTAGCAATGACATAGACACCTTCTACCCCACCTTGTCTCCACCCTACTATTTCATCATTCATTGTACTCGATTAAAATTATACTAATTTCTTTTCATTCAAAATTACTCTATATGAAAATTAATTACTCGTCGAGTCTTAATTTATGTGATATTTTTCATTTTCTGAAATCCAAACAATTGAAGTTTGATTGAGAATTTGCACATAAAATCTTTTTAAAAAAAATTAATGAAATTTATACTCTCTTCGCCTCATATTAGTTGATCATTTTCTTTTTTTACACGCATATTAAAAAATCATAAATAAGAAGATAATTTTAAATTCACCCCTTCAAAAAATTCTTGGGAATTATACAAATAAATGTAAACACTTTAAAAAAAAAAATTAATTACAAAGGTAATGTAGGAAAATTTTAATTAATGTTTTCTTATTTAGTAAGGTGACAACTAAAATAGGACAATTATTTTTAGTAACATCATCAACTAATATGGGACATATGAAATATATTTGTAAACTACGTAAAAAAAAGTATTATAAATCAATATAGATGACAATTCAAAATATTTAAATAAATGAAAAATTTATGATAAAAAAAATTATTTGAATCTCGAAATTCGAAAAGTGTCATGTAAATTGAGAATGAGAAAGTATATGATTGTTCGACTTCATAAATTAACTTAGTTGCATACTGAATAAACAACTTAATTATATGAATAGAAAGAAGCTATAAAGCATATTATTTTCAATTGGTAATTAGCAATAGCAATAGAGTTTAATTTATGCGCACTGACTTAGTAAAAAAAAATTACACAATTAGTTAACTTTAATCGTGATAGCCAATGTCTATTAAACCTTATTTTTAATCTAGTTTTTTTTTATATATATTTTAAAATACTTATTTATTAAATTTTCCTCTCTCTACACTCCACAATCCTTGGACTTGGGAATCTATATTATTAAGAGAAAAAATTATTTGTAAATAATTTATCTTAAGTTGTTTTAAGTTCAAGTATTTTTCAAAGTGAAGTATATGAAATATAATGAATGATGATAAAGTAACTGTCTTTATAAATTGAATCATGTTTCCTCCTTACATTTTCAAAATCTGAAATAGAAAAAAGGAAAAAGGCGCAAATATGTCATCGAACTTTGAAAAAAGACTCATTTATGTCATATGTTTAATGACTCAAATAATGGCATGAATGAGCCTTTTTTCAAATAGAAATAGCATAGATGAGCCAAACTTTAAACAGATGATATAAATAAACATTTTCTCAAAGTTCGATGACAAATTTGACCTTTTTTACCTAGAAAAAATAATGAATAAATAGTTACCGTGAATTCCATTGGTGATAATGGTGATTGAAGAAACGATGAAACAAGAACAATGATGAATTATTTTCAATAAGTCAAAAACAGAATCCTCAGGTAATGAATATCTTAGATGGTCACTCAAGTAATAGTTAATTTCATAAAAAGTCACTCAACTTTCTTTTATAACCACAAAGTCACTAAACTAAGTATTTTTCTCATAGACAGTCACTCAACTAAGGATTCTTTCCACAGAAAGTCACTTAACTTTCTTTTATAACTTTAAAGACACTCAACTATGAATATTTTATTACAAAGTTATTCAACTATGAATATTTCACTTAAAAAGTCATCCAACCAATTTAAATGATTTTTAATTAAATTTTGTTGGAGTACATTTTTTTGTTTTAAACTGATTTTTAAAAAATAATGAAATGCTCATTTTAATTATTTTATTAAAATTTGTTGAAGCACAATTTTTGTCTTGAACTAATTTTAAAAAAATATATATAAGATACTTATTTTAATTATTTTATTTTATTGAAATACAAGTTTTGTTTTAGAATATTTTTTAAGAAAATAATAAGATAATCATTTTAACTATTTCATTAATTTTGTTGAAATACAACTTTATTTTAGACTAATTTTTAAAATAATAATAAAATAGTCATTTTTAATTATTTTATTTAAATTTTGTTAAAATGCAACTTTAAATTGAAAATACGCAAACTGGCACTATACTCACTAAAACTTCACGTAAATTAAACCTCAAAATGTTCTAACATCATTTCCAGTTTGCAATAAATACAGAGTTAACGAAACCAATAAAATTACCTCCTCTTTTTTTATTTTAAAAGAATTCAATTTATATCTTGTAATGTTACTGAGTACGTAGTATTCAACATTTTCAAAAAATAATAAGATGTTCATTTTAATTATTTTTAAAGTCTTGTTGAAACATAACTTTTTAAAATAAGTTTAAAACAGAAGTTGTACTTCAACAAAATTTAATAAAATAATTAAAATGAGTATCTTTTTTTAGAAAAAAAAATTAGTTCAACATAATTTAATAAAATAATTAAAATGAGCATCTTATTATTTATAAAATAAATAGTTTAAGACAAAAATTGTATTTCAATAAAATTTAATGAAAAATCCATTTAAATTGATTAGAGCGACTTTCTAAGTAAAATAAGTTAATCTCTTAACGATATTCCGTGACCTCGGTAGTACTAACAATCAGCCATCAATCCACTCCGCTAAATGAAAGGAAATTCTTTGTGTTTGTTGTTAACAAACGTCTTAAAAATAAAAACCTTTCACAACTACCTGTCTTTTTTTATATACGTTTTATGATTATACTCTATAGTATTAATCCAGGACAATATGGAGGCATATGATCCCATCTCTCTTATTAGAGGGTTGTCTTTTATTATATATACAAATCAAAGATGTATTTACTTCTTTTCTTTGTCCTCTTTAAATGTGTACATTTTTAAGAATGTTTATAAAGGTTTCTAGAGTTTAATTCCTTTATAGACAATATTTTTCCATGTTTAACAATTTCCACTAGTGGCACTAAAAATATCATCATACTTTAGGATATATATTCACATAGCCAATATATTCACATATGGACAATGTGTTAAACTGGTTTTTCTGCTTTAATTTCTCTTTTACCACAATATTAAAGATCACACACATATATATAGAGGATGAGGAGCTTTCTAAGTTGAAGATTTTTTCTTTTCAATATCCTAGTCCTACTTTGCCTTCTTTAATAAATCAATAGTGTACCTAGCTATATTTGCCACTCAAACAAGCAGCCTGTTTACCTAGAATAAGTAGTAAATCTATTTCCCCTTTTAATTTTCAATAAAGTAGAACAAGGATAGATCCTTTCAATCTTTTCTCATTTTTCATAATTTTGAAAACGGAAAAGGGTTAAATATACCCTTGTACTATTGGAAATGGCTTAAGCATACCCTTCGTTATACTTTTGTGCTAAATATATCTTTCCCGATATACTTTTGGGCTAAATATACCCCTCTCTTATTCTTTGACACATATATACCCTTATAACTAACAAAGTGACACTTGGAGGGCCAGAATTTAAAGAACTCATCTAATTTTAAACTATATCAAGTGTTAAGCTTAACCGGCCCGCCCGATCAATATTACCCGACCCAAAATACACTTCAAACGTGGAAACATTTGCTTTGCGTAGAGATATTTGCTTCACCATTAGCAAGCTTCTTGCTCTTGGAAGCTTGAGACACATATCAATATTGCTCAATGAATTCTCCTGTAACATTTCAATTTTTGCTATTCTTTTTCGCTTAGCGGGTTGTTCATAGCTTGTTTTCCATCTTGCTGAATGGGAGAATCAGAGGGAATAAAATTTGCTCAGGGTCTTACAACATGACTTTCATATAGGATAGTTGAAGATTTGGACGACATAATTGATTTCTTTAGTTGTTCATCTCCTTTACTTTGCTAACCAAAAATGGTTCCCAGTTCGCCTCCTTATTTTGCAAAACAGAGAATGTGGTAGGGATTTGTATGTTTGAAGTGTAATTAGGGTCGGGTAATATTGATCGGGTGGGGCGGGTTGGCTTAGCACCATTTATAGTTTAAAATTAGATGGGTTCTTTAAATCCTGGCCCTCCACGTGTCACTTTGCTAGTTATAAGGGTATATATGTGTCAAAGTATAACGTGAGGGGTATATTTAGCCCAAAAGTATAACTAGGGTATATTTAAACCATTTTCAATAGTACAGTGATATATTTAGCCCTTTTCCGTTTTGAAAACGACATGTTTACTAATTAAAGAATTGGTGTGAGAAAACAAGCTAAATGTGCTTCATCAAATGAAGCATTAAAGTAAACCACAATTTGTCTACCATGTCAAATGTTTCAACAAGTCATGTCATGTCCCCTAAAAATCCTTGTTAAAGTTGTTATCTTTGACAAATGTGATATAACTTATTTGTTTAGCTTTGAAAAAGAAGAGAGAAATTATTATTAATTAGACTTGTAGCTAATCAATGCTTAACACCACAACACATTTTCCTTACACTATTCTTAATATAAACACCATAATTAATATAATAATTACAAGTTTTGTTATTTAAATTGTGATTGAACGTGATCGATCGACTTTCCTAATTACGGTCATTATTAAGGGGGTTGATTATTATCAATACTATCATTTCACTAATTAATTTAAGTCACTTCTTCTTTACATATGCTACGTGTCGGAAGATAACAATCTAAATAACTCATACTCCCTCTATTCCTATTTACATGTCGTTACTAAAAAAAATGTTTCTTTATATTTGTCGTTTCACAAAATCAATGCATAAATGACATTATTCTTCCTATTTTACCCTTGAGAGTTATTAGCCTTGAAAATATGTATTTAACCAACATAGGAAAATAAAGTAATGAATTCATGTTCATTGGTCAAATTAATTATCAAAATACATTAATTCATGTTCATTTATTGAAAACTTGAGTTTAAA